TTTTTTGTTTAAATGGCAATACCTTGTATTTGACAGTTTTACTTAAATATTACACCCATCTCGTTTTGTTGTTTTTAAAAATAAACTTGACTTGCTAGCGATTGACGAATTGAGAGGATAAATCACAGATGATCAGACTCATTATCAACAGGTAATCCAGTATAGGCCAGCTCAAAATCACATATTGTATTGCTTTTAAGAAAGTAAGTTTCTAATAATTTTGAAATCTAGCTTATTGCTGTTGGAAAATAGTAATAGTAATTTAAACTTGGGGAAAACAATGTAATCAAGATAATCGAGAATTTCTGTTGATGTTTTTTAATGTTTTATTGTTTAAAGTTAAGCAAAGTAGAAATGTAGAATTTCACAGTTCTTACTCTTGTTCTAATAATACGGTTTCTATAGTTTCGTCTTTTTACCCAAGGCTTCCCCTAGCTGGAACGTTTAAGTCCTCTGTTCACAATGGGTTACCGGACTTTGCGTAACCTCGGTTTGCACGCAGGTTGGGAAGCTGTGCTTACGCAGGATTTCAAAAGGGGGAAAACTATGAATATTGTTACAAGGGAAGGATTTTCTTCTTCTTTTCGCTCGATTATTTGGTGTGGTCATTGACTTTGTGGATTGATTTGTAAGTTTATTTTATTTATATTCGTTGTAGGTTTATATATATATATTTTTTTTAAAAAAACGTTTTGGTGTATTGGAATTATGGTAAGGTTGTGCCTTGGCTTGTTCGGGCGAAATGTAAGGCGGTTTGTATGAAGAGTAAGTATGAATCGGTGTGTTTACAACTGAAGAAGACGGCCGTGGAAGAGGGATGCTGGGTGTATTGATTCACCGAGTTATTTTTGATGAGACGTAAAACCAACGAGTAAATGGAAAGACGAAATCGATAAAAACGTGGCCACTTACGTTCAGAAACTGGGTAAACCTCCTCGCCCGGGGCATGGTAGCTAGCCCGCACTGACCACACGCGCACCTAGGCCACATCCAAACACACGGCACACACCGGGGGCGGCAGAACTGGGGGCGGCGGCTGGTGAAGGTGGTAGCCCGCTCGGCCGACTGCTTCCCCTTCGCCTGACCCCAGAAAGTCGAAGCCGCGCGCACGCATTGATCTATACAACCCCAGCATCCACCCCCACCAGGGGGATAGCCTACTTTGCAAGCCAGTCCTTCCTGATGTCTTCGTGAAGACTCTCTAACTCCTCATTGCGGGTAAACGTCGTTAAAAAACCCAAAAACAATTGTATTCCCAAAAAGGTCATTTCCCCCTATTTCTATTAGTATGGTCGATCAGCTTTCCTGACAAATCGTTTATTAAAAAAACAACTAGCAACAATTAGAAAAAAAAGGATAAATATTATCTTTGGTGTTCTAAAATAATAAATATCAGTAAAACGAGTCTTCTGCATCAGGTTTGACCAAAAATGGACATTAAGCGTACGTAAACCTAATTAAATATCAAGTAAGATCGATAATACACCAAATTAGACTAGAATCGAAGGAGAAGAGTTAAAATCTTCTAAAATTGCAAATGTGTGATTTAAAAGCAACGAAATTGACATTTATTGATGGAGTATAGAAATAAAATTTACACTCATTCTTACAATTGTCCGAATAGCAAGATTAAGCGGACGTAAACTGTACTCATCCCCACGCATGAGAAAGTAAGAGAGATAAATAGATGATTAGATAGATACATAGACAGATAAATAGATAGATAGGTAGATAGATAGATAGAGAGAGAAAGAACGAGAGAGAGAGAGAGAGAGAGAGAGAGAGAGAGAGAGAGAGAGAGAGAGATCAGAGCTACAAGAAACAAGACAGAAAAACAAAGTTAAATAAGTAGGGAAGAAAGAGAGAAAATATTAAATGGAAAGAGGGAAAGAGAAAGAGAAAAGAGAGAGCGAGAGAGAGACACAGAGTGTAGTGCTAAAAGAAAAAAGACAAAAAGACTGAGGTAAAAACATAAGGAAGAAATAGAGGTGGTNGAGAGAGAGAGAGAGAGAGAGAGAGAGAGAGAGAGAGAGAGAGAGAGAGAGAGAGAGAGAGAGTTTAGAGAGTTTAGAGCTTAAACAAAAAAGACACAAAGACAGAGGTAAAAACATAAGGAAGAAGGAAAGTGGGAAGAGAGAGAGAGAGAAATAGCGAGAGGCAGTGAGTTAGAGCGTTAGAGCTAAAACAAAAAAGTTAGAGAGGCAGAAGTAAAAACATAAGGAAGAAGAAAAGAGAGAAGAAAACATAATCAGATAGAGGGAGAAAGGGTGAGAGACACAGAGAGAGAGAGAGAGAGAGAGAGAGAGAGAGAGAGAGAGAGAGAGAGAGAGTGATTAAAGTTAAAAGAAAAAAGAAATGCGGACGTAAATAATTCAGGTAGAAAGAGAGTGAGAAGATAGAGAAAAAATATCTCATGGAGATAGATAGATAGAGAGAGGTAGATAGATAGAGAGAGAGAGAGTGAGAGGGGGAGAGAGAGAGAGAAATAGTAAAAGGAAAGAGAGAGATGGAATGCATGCAAGAAAAGGGTTAATATAAAGGGTTAAAGTTAATGAGAGTAAGAGAAAGACAAAAAAGAATCAGACAGATAGAGGGAATACTGATTCCCCATCGTCTGCAGCAATCAATTCTTAAAAGCGATATCAAACGGACCCGAAAACGAGGAGTATAAAAGGTATTAAACACAGGGAAGACCCCTGATGTACGGAAAAATTTTTGTTGCAAAAACAACTTTAACTATTAAAATACTTTAGGTGATTTGAAACGCCATGTAGTCCAAATAGCGATAATAAGAGACCCCAAATTACAATGTAATAAAGTGCAACCAAAATTCATTCACATGAAGTATACTTTAAAAAATAAATAAACCAAGAAACAGGTAAACTGCACTGAAATGGAACAAATGGAATGTCTTTACTTAAGTCTGCTGAATTAATGAAATGAACACGACGGCCATATTTTCGCAGAAATAGTTAAACATGACATAGTTGATTTGTATGCCGTTTTGCTGCGACGGCTAAGTAGTCCTTGTTAAAAAAATTAACAACCAGTTTCATTTACAGGTTTTCAGACAGAATTTGTATCAAATATGAAAGACCAAACACTGATGAGTGGTCATAGAGTTGGGTCGACATTGAATTTTTCCACTGAATATTTAATCAGGCCGGCAATTTGAAAATTCCCGGGAGTGAATTACTTATTCAGGAGAAGAAAGACCTGGGCGGAAATTCACCCGGGCTTGGCCGAAGGGTGGAAGAAGGGTCTCAGCTCCGACACGCTGTACATTAGCCCTTCACATGTGACTTTATGTTCCTCACGGTCCCTCGCTCGTGAATTTTTAATCTCGGAGGAGGATATACTCCCGAAGCCGGCGGATCAAATATTAAGACACCTGGCCGACCCGACCGGCAGACTTTATACCGCTTGCCCTTCTTACTGGGGGCACATAACGGGATTTATTGCCCTAAGCGAACAGTCGGCGATACGACGAATGGCTTATTTTTGATGGACTTTGGATTCTACGGTGCTCCAGCCTGCATTTTTGATCACGTTTAGCAACTTGAGATAAAGAAAGAACAGCTTTTTTCATCAAAGATATATGTGAGCAGAATATTTGAGTTTTTCTTCTGTGTACCAGCAGTAAACCGCTTGGGTAACAGGACATTTTGGTAGGACCTGAACCTATTCATTGTATAACAAAAACAAACACAATCCTCCTTCATAGAATGGATCCAAAAAAGAAAAGTGGCTAAACTCTAGAGGCGCATAGACAAACTTATGCTAAAACAACCCTCTTACTGCGACAGTTGGATAGGGCTATTTACCGGTCACAGGCATCTGAACAAGCATTTACATATCATCATTCAACCATGATGTCATTTATAGATTATGCAATGAGAAGAAGAAACTGCCATATCATCAACACCGCTCAATGGAGACAAACCCAAGGAAAGAAATTATCAGCCTTCTCTGCAACCTAGTACTCATATCTGTCTATCTATCATCATATCTATTATCTCAGGTCTTATCATAAAGAAGAAAGCCAACTGAGTTCGTACTGCCAAGCTTTCGTCCTTTTTTAAGGTCACCATCTGGGGAAAACAAGGTTGAATTTTTTTCCACTAATTTCGTGGTCCGCTTGACCAATTAATACATTAAAATTAATTAAGGTATTTAGTTGAGATGAAAAAAAGTTAATGACACGAGCGGGATTCGAACCCACGATCTTCGGCTAGATACGCCGCTGCTCTACCACTTGAGCTATCGTGACCTCGATCCACTCGGACATCAACTTCCTATCTCAAAAAAAGGGGAGGGAAAACTCATAAGGTGGGGCTGAGCAGCGGCGTATCTAGCCGAAGATCGTGGGTTCGAATCCCGCTCGTGCCATTAGCTTTTTTTCATCTCAACTAAAAACCTTAATTAATTGTTGAATTTTTTTTTACGTTTTTACAGGCGTCAATCTGTAGACATATTTAACATTGTTTTGCCCTGATGATGACCTTTAAAATAGGTCGAAATCTTGGCACTAAGAACTCAATTTGCTTTCTTTTTTAAGACCATACCTTGATTCAGAGTGTTTGTGAGTGAAAAAGTTGTCGATATTTCTAATACTGAAAATTTTTCTTAATGTCAAATACCGACTAAGTGTACGCCTAGGATAAACCTCTACTGAATGTCACTTACACATCAATGAAAGAAAAGCTTAAGACCTAAGAAACATGATCGATCTCCACCTGCAATGCTTATTCTGTCTAGGAAAATACCGCATTAGATGTGTACTACGGTCACTTATGGAATTCTCTTTAACACATGAATAGTGTTGTCCTCCAAGGGTGAGGTTTGACACCCACTTAACTAACTTGACAAGTGGTATGAAATTGTACATTATGAACATGCATACAGCTAACCGTTCAAAAACAAGGTCGAAAACTGCGTGTCTCACGCCAAATACAACACTGCTTTGAAAATCAATTGTTCTTATCGAAAAAAATTGTTACCTGTTGCCCCTGTCCCTGTGCCATGCAGACACGAGCAGCCTGCGTTCGTAGTCCTGCTCGTTGACCTCCAGGGTGAATTTCGTGTCGAACCTCGGGTTGGATGAATCCTTCCTCACGCAGGTCCTGTGAAAAGTGCGTTCAGTCGCGCAAGGCACCATGCTGACCTGCAAAACGATATCGGATATGCCGTAATTCATTAAAAAATGGGCGAATGACTTAATTAAAAAGATCCCGAGCGAATATCCGCTTTTTTAATGGATTTTTAATGGGAAGTGCATTTCCTGGGACGAATATTTTTAAATGGATGTGGTTACGGTTTGGTGAGATCGGTTGGATCCGCCTGAACCCGCTTCTAGTACTGATAATTTAGCCGATTAATGCCTAATTGCTCCCATACAAAAGAATCAGTACTTACGAAAGTTTCTCAATTAAATAATCCTATTTGGAAAAAGTTAAATCCTTTTAATATACAACGTCTATTTAGGTGAAACTTGAACACGATTTATTTCAATCGAACTTCTATCGATAAACCGTTCATTGGTTTTTTCCGGCGTGTCAATATTCATCCTTCAAATCAGATTATCTCAGAGTCGTCTACTGACATCAATAACGTCAAGATAATTCTAAATTATCAGATGCGTACGAAAATATTAACGCAAATCTATCGCCCATGAACACGCTACCGCCTTTTTCACCAGAAACTCAATTCTGAATCACTCTCTTTTTTCAATTTATTCGCCTGATTCAATAAATTATTACATACCTAACACATAAAGTTTCAAATTGTTATAAAATTTTTGCTTTTCAGATAAAGAAGAGGATGTTTGTGCAGCTGGTTTTCTGTATTGGCATGTTAGAGGTAGAGATACGCACGGTTTTACTCATGTCAGCTTAATTTAGCTTCAACTTAGATTCCATACTTACGAACTTAGCTATCGTCTTTTAGTTGCCATCGCCTATTTTCAATGGTTTCAAATTATTCGTTATTCGGAAGATAATATCGTTTCTTCTGTGCCAGTTGCTGATTCCTTCTTCCAGCTTCTTCATTACTGACTTTTCCACAGCTTTTATCCATGTTATAGTCACTCTCCTCAGCCCATGTTCTAAGCCATTTGCTTGATTTTTGATTGATTTGATTAACATTCGATTCGTTTGTTCAACTTTCGGAAATGGTTTAGGCGGTCTTGGACTGAAAACGAGAAAATTTGTCTCTCAGTCCAGGGCAGTTCTTCAGCCCAATTTTTGGTTGTTATCTTTTGGCCAGGCTGTACTGATTGTTTATACACTAATTTTCCAAATTGAATTTTTTCTTCTTGAATTTTTAATAATTCTTTGGATACAACAAACATTTAACCAATTTGGCCGTTTATTTTTTTTCCAGTTCGTGAAAATTTCAATTCGGAGGTTTCGTAACTATATCTGTACATTGGCCATTTATCTACTGGTAAAATGTGACAATTTCGACGAATTTTCTAATTTCCTAGGTGTAATTACACTTGTTAACTGGCAGGGAAACAATCAAATGTGTAATAGTAAAAATTCACTTTTTTTTTCAAATCTTTAATCCATTATAAAAAATAATTAAAAATAATTATCCAATCTGGACAATACTGTTCCATTTTTTTGGGTTCGTCTGAAATCGGTTTTAATTTTGAGAGAAACCAATTTTTTACAGTGTAGCAGAGGCCATATCAACCACGGGATGTTGCGAATAAAAAGCCCATTCAAAAAATTACTAATATTTCTAAGCCTGCTATTCCAAACTTCCATCAGTTTTCCAATTTTCCGGTCCGATTAATCTCGCTGTTAATTCTGAGAGAAAGGAAAGAAAGAGATTAAAATATTAAACTGTGCAACTTTCTTTTCTTGTTTAAAAAAATTATTAACGTTTACAAGATTGCTACTGTGAAATTTCCATCAATTATCTCTTTTTCAGGTCCGCCTAGTCTCGCTTTTTTACCCGAGAGAAACCGTTTAGTTTATATATTATTTTTTTAAAAAATCGTGTATACTAGTAATTTTTCATTTCTCAAAAAGCCTTCAATCGCTATTAATTACAAATTATTATTTAATTATTTTTTGTATATTGATAATTTTCCCAATGTTAGGTCCTCCCAGTCTCGCAGTTTATTTTGAAATAAGTCACTAAACTTTGTAACAGGCTTTTTTCACATCTTAAAAATAGTATTTACAAGAATGCTATGGTCAATTTCTATTAATTTTCCCATTTTCTAGTATATCTAGTCTCGCTTGTTAACCAGAGAAAAGCTATTTACTGTCAAAAAAAAAAAAGTGTAATAGCAAGTTCTAATTTCATTATTATTTAATTGTATTTTCAATATTGACAATTGACCAATTTTTCCAGCTCTGCTTAATCTCGCTGTTACTCTTGGGAGAAATGTTTTTTATAACAGTTAAATTGGGTTTTATTTCATAACATATAAAATCTTTAATGTTTAAAAATGTTTTTGTCAGTTTAAACAAATTTACCTTTGCTTTACCCTTTGCTTGCTTTGAGATCATATCGCCCACAGGGGCTTCGATATTTTTGAACAAAAAAAAATCATATTTTTAAGTATGTTGGGGACCGAATTTAAGGCCGTAGAGATTCGAACTTGGGACGTTGGCCTAGTCGCCTGTCACCGCTCTAACCGTTGCACTAACCGGCAGGGGTGGGGTTCTGGTGGTCCCGCTTTTTCCTCTACGCTTTTCATCGATTCTGTATTCTTTTTCTAAATAGTTTTAGAGTATTCCTTGAATTAAGTCTTCAATTTAGTATTTTGTGTAGACATGGGCGTACAAAGTTTTCTCGGTTTTTAATTTCGATTTTTACGTGCTTTTTTTTTAAATTCTTGTTTTAAAGACGTAAATTTATAGTAGTTTATGGGGTTTAGGGATAGAGTTATAATTAAAACGCGGTTGTCTGGCTGTAAATTGATTTGTTCTAGAAATGGGTGGAAATTAAGGAAAAAGGAACTTCCGAACAGGATATACGGCCTTAATTTTACAACTCAAACGTAACTTTTTAACTATAATATAATAATGTAATTAATTATTTAAAGGCGACAGACAATTATCCCCCGCAGCGAGACGTGACGGTCCGAGGGAACGGTAGGAGGTGGTTTCTTGGGCGAAACGACCGCCCGATTCCCCGAGGGCGTTTTACACGCTCGGTTAAATTCGAATTCGATTAACACAGTGTGAACAATTCGCCCTCTCCTGGAATTGATTTCAACAGGCCTTTTCATGTCGGGGTTGGCAAAAATTAACACAAGAATACGTCCGTCGAAATCGCGATTTCGAAAAGTACAAGTACCCCTGTGTGTACCTTGATGTATGCGTTGCATGACCCGCTGCCGGAGAGTGGTTGGAGGTTCCTCCCTCGGACGACTGAAAGAGAGAAATAATAAGATATAAAAAATAAAATAAAAGGAAAAATCTTGGGAGAGAGAAAGTGATTTACTGTGTATTGTCAGAAGGCCTGAGGTGAAATATATGTTTAGCTCTAGCTCGCCTGAAAAAAAAATTACCTGATGACCTTGTTTCCTCTTCGATTAATTACAGAAACTGTATTAAAAATACCTTGCAATGGTTTTGAGCTTAAAGATCTTCTCTGACTCATTCTGCTTTTTGTCAAATTACCTGGAGAATTGTAAGTAAGGCAACGCCTGGAACGGCTCTGCCCATCGTAATTCTGTGGGCTACATGTCAGACTTGTCGAACCTGAGAAAAAATATTGATAATTTTGATCTAATAAAAAATTTTATGTTTAAAGTTATTTACCAAGGCTTGAAACGGCGTCTTCGTCTGATTCGATTTTAGAAGAATAAGGGGATCCGGCTGACATCTCGTCGATTGGCGCGTCGTTGAGTATATGCGCTTCCGTCAACCTTGGCGTTTTCAAAAAGTGCATGTTATGAGATTCCCAGGTTGTGATGGACAAGGGGCTTTCTTTTCCTGGTGAGTTCAGAGGCATGGCTAGCTCTTCACCCGGGGCTTCTTGCTCCGGAGGGCTTGGAATGCCGCTTGGTAGGGTCAGAAGACTCACAGCGGGACGTCTCAACCTGCACATGACAGCCGGGCTTTCGAAAGGACTTGGTATGCCGTTCGGCAGTGTCAGGCAGGACCTTGCGATCTTCCTTGCACTCTCTCCATCCGACAATCCTCCTTTCCATTTCCTTCTTCTAATCACCTTCTGCCTCCTCAGCTCCGAAGGGGCTTCCATATCTATCGACGGTGCGAACATATCCGAGCTCTTTTCGCTTTGATTATCCCTAACATTAAAATTATTTACATTATTTACAAAATCGCGTAGGTTTCCGTTCCTGTCGTTGTTAGTCTGCGATCCTATCCTGCTCTTGTTTTTCTCGAAGGCATCGTCTTCGTCCTTTTTCTCAAAAGAAAAATCCGGTATGATCGGTGAGAGCTGTAAGCTTTCCTCGTCGATGCACATGTTCAGATAGTTGAACTGCTTGGCTAAAGGTGACACTTCGACGAGGGGAGAATCCCACAGCCTTCTCGCTATTTCCCTCCTTACTGCGGCACCTCTGGAGTTAACCGGGGTATTAAGGATGATTTCTTTTTCTTCCGGACGCAAAGGTATCTCCTTGTGATCCAGCTCGACCGGACTGGGAGATTGATTGATGCAATAAAGGCTTGCTGGGGAATCGCCTGCTAGGGCCATGAGGCTCTGGGTCGCTTTGATGGGACAAGGAGAATACTCGATCTGAAGAGTCGACCTTGCCGAATCCAGTGAGAATTTACTTGCTGACATCCAACCCGAACACGCCTGACTCCCTATTCCGACATGGCTGTCGATGCAAGGCTGTTTTCTGGGCGACTTGACAACCTCGGATTGCCGTCTTTTCAGGCTGTTCCTCGCCTCGGGGGTCCTAGGAGGTGTTTCGTTCAGCCTGTAGTTGCTGACGTCCCGCAGAGCAGCCGGCACCGCGTCTAGCCTCATGTAGACACTGTCTCTCGTCCTCGGGGAACCCTCTGATGCATGCCTCTCCTAGAAACGTGAAAAATTCTCAATCTTTTCCTCTTCCTTTTAGAAAACGTCTGTAAAACACACGACCTACCCGTGTATTTTCCTTCCCGGTGGAGCGTCGCCTGGGTTTCCTGAACGGAGGCCTGCAGCAGGTGGAGCCGTTGGACTCCACGCGCCTCTGCTGACCCACAGCCCACTTCAACATAACACTGCAACAAAGACAAAGCGGAAGTGTTAATATTCATGTAAACCACAACACCTGCTTACTTTAAATGCTTTTTCTAATACATATAATTTAAGAGGACAAAACAATAAGATATTACAAACTTATCTTACTATTTACAACATCATTTAAACTTTTTGTTTTAAATTCTAGGACCAATATAAGAGAAAACAACAAATGCACACATTAATAAAAGTAGCATAAATGAAAACTATATCTTGAATTGACATCTAGACCGGCACATAGCAGCAATGATCAAAGCTGCTGATAGATTTAATTACACGTTTTGTTTTGTAGCATGCTAATTGGTCCAAACGTCGGCCGAATACCACTTTATGTCTCGAAATCTTTCCAGCCCTGGAAAATATTCTATACTCATTTGAATGATCCGTCCAATCCCCCAATTTGATCTCATCGAATATTTATAAGATAAACTGAATACGAGAAAAGACCAAAGAGGACTTCGGTTAAAGGTTTTTCTCTGTGGCCCTGAGTTTTCTAGGTCTTTCCGCCCTGTAAATTCATTAATATCGACATATATTACAAACAATCGGTAAAAATAATTATTAAAATGTAAAAACCACTAGATTATACATTCTTTTTATCTATATGTAATAATCTGGAAATAAAGTTGTTTAATTAATATTCTACAAAGTCTACTTTTAATACGGAACTTTTTTTGTATTATTAACTGATATAACTTTTTGATATACCAATGAGACTTAGCGGACCAGAGATTGACATTCGTACTCAGTACTCCCAGTGTATTTGATATCTAATTTTTTTAAAATTGTTTTCTATTTGCGGATAGATTTTTATTATTCAGAAATCGTGAGATGCGGTCTGGTGTGATGTAGATTTCAGAAAAACACTCTCAACACGACACGCAAGAATGGCACAATTACGCAGAAGACAAACACTTTGAGCCCAGAAGATGTTCTCAATAAAGATCGAAACGTTGGAAAAATAAAGAAAATGTTTTTCTGAAACCTACATCACACCAGACCGCACTCACGATTTCTGAATAATTATCGATTAACGGTCACTAATCACCACACATAGATTTCTATGTTTAACAACTGAGATGTTTTCGTTCAAAAAAGAAAGAAAAAACAGTAAGCTAGACGAATTAGAGTCAATCGATGAAATTATAGAACATCAAAAATAGATTTACATTCCTCTTCTACTTCTACGACTCTTATCAACCTGATCCAATAAGTACAAAAAAGTTCCGACTTTCAAGTAAAGGAAACAGAGTGAATTAATGGCCAAAATTGTACATATTCTGTTTTACATTAAAGAAAAACTACTTCATGAAAACTTAAACAGCGGGAAAAGGCGGACCGAGAATCAATATCGTCCAAGATCACCATAATTCTTTTTAGATTGTAAAAAGTTGATGTATTTGTAGAGATGAAAACTTATATTTTTTAAGCGGAGCTTATAATAAACTTTATCTTTCTTTAGCTTCTGCCGTATTGTCTTCTGTCTAACGTATTTATTTTACATGATAAAATTATTTCATGTGCACTCAGCAAATGTGGGTCACTACCAAACATCAAATGCTCATAATTTTAAGTTTTATGATAAACATGCAAAAAGATGAGAAATATTTATAAAATTTTTTTTGTGTAGCTAAATAGTGAGCTCTAAAGAGGGAACAGAGGCGTAGTCCGAATTGCATTAGCAATTAAAAAAATATTTGTTATAAAAATAAATGGTGTTAGTTAAAAAAAAAAACAGAAGACAAATTTAACTTTATTACTACTAGGTTCTTTTGTACTTAACTTCATCAAGTGAGGAAGTTACTCTGATAATTCTTTATTATAATAAAATTAAATAATAAATAAATAATATTAATTAGTTTGATCATAAACATTCTAAAATGATAAGAAATGTCAGTGATAATTTTAGGAAAATGCAAAAAATGACACCACGAAATTAAGCGGACAATTTTTCGTTTATGTTGTAACTAAAAATTCTATTGTTATCAAACATTTTGAAATAATCACAGGGATAAATCGAAAAATGCTGTTGGCTTTAGCGAGAATAAACGGACCAATGCAGAACTTTAGCCTTTAAACTTTCCATTTTTTTTTTGTAATTTACAATTTTGTTAACCTTTTGTTGCGATTTGCTAAATAACTTGAAGTAATAATAATAAATAACTGGGGTAAATAATGCAGCTTTTAACTAAACAACAGATCTCGTATTTTAACCTTATTCCTCCTAATTTCTTTTGTATCTGAATTTACATAAAATTATTTTAAATATCGGGAAGTGGCGAATATAATGAACTCTTTTATATATTTTTTTTTAAATTTAAACAGTATAAAATAACAGTGGATAAATAGGGGAAAATTGAATAACAACAGTGAGGAATTCTGGATTTCTCTTACTTCTATATGTGTCTGTATATTTTGAGTTTCTGTCTGCTTTTAAAGCTTTACTTCCATTTTTTTCTTGACTTTTTCAAAACAATTACTAAACTTATTTAATAATTTTTTCAATTATTTATTATTTATTTAATTGGAAGATAATTTTGTTTTTACTATCTCACGGGATTTTCAGTGAAAAGGAAAAACATCTGTGCCAGTGAAGTTCAATTAGTTTTGCTTCGGTACTTTCATATTAATTCATATAACATGAAGCTAAGAGCTATGGCTAATTAGTAATAACAAAGTTTAAAAACTAGTATTTTTTTAAATTAGTTTATTTAGTTATTAGAGACCAATTTACCCCTCACAGAAATTTTATATTCCGATGTTCTTAGTAAAAGGTAGATATGGGTTTTCGTGCGGGATCGTCCGGTCTGCGTGGGTAAAATTAATTAGCTATTCACCCTCTTAAAAACAATATGGTAATGAGTTTTCCGGGGGCTAACGTCTTTTCACCCCCAGCCATGGGAACACTACCTGGAAGGGAAAATTAATCGGATGCGAGGCACACTTGTCCGAAAATAACGAATGGGGAATTAAATAGTTTAAAAAGGCAGAAGGGGGACGTTCTAGTTAAGGAAATTACACTGTTAACTTCCCAGGACTTAACGATTACGGGCCCAATGGGACGGAACAGTTGGCAAACCTAGAACGTTTTTCGACTTTTTTTTTCACCAACCGATCAAACATTGGATGAGTACGGGTTTAATTACGTCAATTCGATCGATTAACACTCCAAAAGTCATTGGGCTTAATGGAGACTTTCCTCCGGTCTTTCCTGCAGGTGTGCCTTCCGCTTTACAGGTGATTCTGTCACATAACGAACTGTGTAAAAAGCTGCAGAACAGGTGGTAAACGGGGTGTAAATATTTCAAAATAAACTACCGTTCAACGCGTATAAAAATAATCAAGTCGGCTGTTATGATTTACATATAATTGTCCGACAGTTTCCTGGATTTGATACTTAATTTTATATGCATGAATTACACCTTGGTGTTTTTAGGGGTTATTTGCGTCGCATATTTAAATAAATCACGGCAAAGCACTTCAACTTAACAGTTTTCTTAATTAAAACAGGCACGAGATCTCAACAGAGCTTTTCTTTAATAAGACATTTTTCTATTTGATATTTTAGTAGGTTTTATGAACCAGTTAAATAATAATAGAAAGAAACATTGGTTAACTTCCTTAAACAATTTTTGGATTTAACAAAAACTGGTTTGGAAATCTGAAATTTGAAATTATTACATAGATAATGTACATTTAAAATTTTTTTCTTTCCATATGGAAAAACTTTCTGCTCAAGGCTGACGCTTGGAGGACTCCCTGCGATTTCTATGGTAAATAGAGTAGGTCCAAAAATTGATCGTTGCGGTACACCTGGTGTAACATTTGTAAAGTTAAAGAAGATGTATTAACGAAGTACGTATCTGCAGTCATTTATGTGTATTTGACTAGTTTTACAAATCTTAACCATTTCCAAAAATTTTATACAGGTTGAATAAAATGGGTTGAAAACTAACGCTTGCGATACACCTAATGATAAATTCCTGTCATCAAAAGATCTATTTTCAGCGAGGATTTTCGTTTATTTAATCCCATCTGAAATTGATAACGTTGAAGCTAGTAGTATGCTAAGTATAATATTTCTGATGTCAAAAAATCTATGATCCATCGAGATACTTGAGTGTGTAAAAGTGACTGACGTTGTATATCGTGGGTGTGACAACTAGCCCTTGGGATACACCTGAGGAAAAATCCTATTATCAAAAGATGTATTTTCGGCTATCAGCCATCCATATTCTTTTCTTGACGCGTATTAAAGATATTAATCCTTTCTGAAATTGATGTACAAATTTATAAAAGTTTGCCCAAAATTGACGCTTGGAATACGCCAAAATATTCTTGGCGTTAAAAAATTGACTAGAATCCATCGAGATTCTTGGGTGTCTAAAAGTGGTTGACGTGTATGGTAAATAGAACGGGGACATAAAACTGATCCTTCATATACACCTGAAGAAATATTCCAGTTATAAAGGTAGAATTGATGAATGGTGGAGTGAGTGCGGTGTTCAATCCTTAAGTAAGTTTCTTACTGTGAATAGGAACAATCTTTTTGAAAGGATTGTTATCAAAAGATGCGTTTTTGGCGACGATCCATCAAGATTCATGGGTCTTAAGCAAAATTAGTTGACGTGTGTTTTAGAGTGGCTTCAAGAATGGATCCTTGATGTAGACCTGAGTAAAAAGTTTTGCGTAAGAGTTGGATGAGTATTAAGGATCTTAATATTTTCTGAACTTGATGTACAGGTTTTAAAAAGTTAGTGCATAAATTGACCCTTGAAGTGCACCAACTGCAATATTCCTGACGTCAAAAGTACTGACTATGATCCATCGAGATACTTGGGTGTATAAAAGTGTATGTTTAACTGACCTTTAGTATACACCGCATGAAATATTCCTGTTATCAAAAGTTATCTATATAAGATCTAATAAGTTTCTGTATAATTTTTTGACGAGTAAAGATCTAAAATATTTCTGAGAATGT